TAACACACGTGAAAAGACCCAGGAAAACCGAGTAAACGATAAAAACGATAACAAAATAACGCTGAGAACCGATAAAAACCCTGAAAACTATACATTTCACACCTGAGCCTCAACTCTCGCGGCCCGGTACCGGTACTCACGGACCGGTACCGGTCTGAGGCCCGGGGGTTGGGGACCGCTGGTCTACAACATTAACTGAACATGACCAACAGTCATATTAAGACTTTTCATTTAATACTTGTGTGGATTTAATGAAAAAATGATATTTAAGTATTATATTTATATATTTAGTCCTCAAACATGAAGTCATCCATCATGATGAATAATCATAGTAAGACAAAATATCTATAATCTAATTTCAGCCACAGTTGCTCAGTCCTACATGTAAGTGCAGTTTGTATTTTTTCTTGTGAGTTTTAACATTTCTGCTATTTGGTGCCTCAAATAAATTTTTTATTGCTAAAAGCATAAAAATTTCACAAAACAATATCAGCTTTTCAACGTCAAACAGCTGCAAAACATGAGAAGGATGATTTATGATTTTTTTGTGAAGAATTTTATCATCTTTGTTGCAGATTTACAGCGCTGCTGATTTGAATCTGAAACCTTTTTCTAGTTCTTGACTCATAAATTCCTGTATGACTGAAATATCAAATAAAAGTTGAAAGTGTGTTTGTACCTCTGAGGAGCCAGAGGTGAGGACGCAGGCAGCAGCAGCGATGAAATCTCCAATCAGCATTGTGAAGCCCGGCAGGCCGAGGAAGAAGAATCGAGGAGAGCAGGAGCGGATGATGGTGTTCAAAACATCCTGATGATAAGCATGGACACAGATAAACTGTCATCACGTCTGCAGCAATCTCCGTTATTATATCTCTGCAGACTTTATTTAGGAACAGCCTGAATAACAGAACAAAAACGGATTTTTTTCCTTTTAATTCTCCAGAATGTTTACAATTACAGCCGGGGATTTTTGCATTTGGGGGGGGAGCCTCGCGTGTCGTTAGTGTGGGTGGAGTGAAGCAGTATCAGAAATATTTTGTAAATGGGCCACAGTGTGAGAGACGTGGCACCGAGAAAGCTTTTCACTTCAACAGGTAGGCTAAGCATTTTAAGCGTGCTGAGGAGAGTAAAGCACTCAACAGTGCATGTCACTAAAGGACAAAAAAAAGGGGAAAAATACAGAGTGGGAAAGACAGACAGAAGAGAGAGACAGCAGATGGATTGTTCACAGTGGATAAGAGGGAGAACAAAAGACCTCAACTTTCAAGAGTCACATGTATGTACACACACAAGCAAACCTGTAATTAAAGCCAGAGACAAGGTATTGTTTGGTTGAGGTGCAGGCGGCTCAGTGGCAGATGGGTGCTCTTTCAACACAGGCATATGCTGTATTGCACAAACTGCTCAAGTATGTACAGTATAACACTGCGCTAGTGAAGAGCGTAAAAGGATGCTTGAGAATTTCCAGACTATATTTAGCTGCTAATCTTACAGCAAAGACGTTTCTTCGCTATTGACGGACACAGGAAATACTCTTGGGAAAAAAAATAAATAATTAGTTTAAGAATAAAAGAATGCAGCATCTAAATAAGACGGAAAGATCGCCGTCTCTCTTATCTGAGTCATGCGTGCGCATATTTGCGTATGAAGGCAAGGTCCAGGCTCCGAACACCTGCCTTCTTGGCCATAAACTTGTGTAAATCGGACAGTTCAAACATCAGCCCGTTTCTAGCTGAAGCGAAGGGCACCTTAACAAACACAATTTCTCTCTCTCTCTCTCAATCACACACAGTACCACTATCTATGCGCGACATTAATCACCCAGAGCTTTGGTAAACAGGGAATCCAGGTGAACAAAAGAATAGAATAAACACAGAAGACTACTAGGAAGTCAAACCAACACCAGCAACACATGTGGAAAATTGGTGGGAAGAGCTTCGGGATTGAGGGCCCATTTTACCCTCGTTTTGTTGGTAATTGACCTCTGAAGCATAATGTGTAGTGCAGTCAGAGGTAATTAGCAGGCAACAAACTGTTTCTTGATTGCCTGAAATGAGCATTTTAGAGGAAGCCGCAAATGTAGAATGCAAAGTGCTTTCAATTGTACGTGCAAGTAGAGGGAACCTGATTTGAAGTGTGTATAGAAATCAGAACAGAGAAATGTGGAAAGGGAATAACCGCATGCGGCGCTGTGTTGGCAGTAGGAATAGCCCCTGCATCAACAAAAGGTGCATTAACGTAACTCTGAATAGAGCCACCTCAGGCCTTTTTATGTGGCCTTATTTTCACGAAAGCAAACGCTTTCCACCTGCTGGCCCCTGGGGTGACGGGGTTCATTCTGGCATTACATCACTCTGCACAGAATCCCGAAATTTACCAATTTAAATGTACAGTTTAGCACGGGGACATTTTTCCTATTGTAATTCATTCACAAGTTGTAAGAAAGGGATAATAACCTACCTGCGGGCTGTTGTAGCCACGAGCAGTTTAATCAACAGCCGTGTCGGTGGCCTACGGGTCAACCTTCACATTTTAATCTGACGCTATATAAATTATGCAGCAGCCTCCTTTTAGGGAATGACAAGATGAACCGAGTTAAAAGGAGAAGCCAGCTCTGCACAGGTGCTGAAATCTGTGCGTTTGTGCAAATGTGTTCGCGCTTTCGAGCCCTTCAACCTAAAGAATAAAAGGTGAATAGATGCATTAAAGCTTTGTGTGCACTTGTTATGTTTAGCAAAATATGCTGTTGACTATTGCACTCCAGATTGCAGACCTATTAGATAGATTACCGCCATTGTGTCGTGGTCATGCTTTTGTGAGACCAGTGACCAGAGACTGACAGACTAGCAGGACAATAGCCCTGACCTTGGCACTCTGTCAGTTGGAAGGAGAATCCCTCCAAGGGAAATGTCATTTTCCTCCAAGCTTAGATGATTTTATATTCACTGGGATTCCCCCTGCCGTCTATAAAGCATGGCTGTTTAAGGCAGACTACACATTCAGCGTTCATTTATAAAGATATGAGAGATGCTGTTGAACAAAAAGACCAAACATCTTCAGATGTCTAATATTAAACGCACAAAGAAAATAAGTCGTATAACTGTAGCCTCCAGAAAAAGCTTATAAATAAAGAAGCTTAAAAATATTTGTATGCTTTGAAAGAAATCAAAATCGCAAATGTTTTATGTGCATTGGGGTGGGGGGGTGGGGTGAAGGCACAGAGGAAGGAGGAGGAGAGTAAGAGCCACTTTCTTATGTTAAGCAGGCGTGCGGCTGTCCTCTATTGTGTGGCGTGAGGACTCTTTTCTCTGGCCAATTTGAGCATGCTTCAGTGGCCAGCCTGGCTCTGGCCCCCCAACGCATTATACAGAGCCACAACAAAAGCTTGAGAATGCTGCCTGCTCTCTCAGAGTGCCCCCCTCATTGCTCTACTCTGCACTACGTTCCCCAGGCTCCCCTCCCACTCCTTCACACACACAC